ACAAGTCGGATTTATAAAATCAGGTCGGAAAGATTTCTGCAGGTGTTTTCAATAAAATGTTCTATCCATCCATCTTAATACAGTTTGTAATGGATAAGATTTACCTTGGAAATAATTTTTTCATGAATTACAGCAGAAACCGTTGCGTGCATCGCAACTTCAATGTTCAAAGGAAATAGTTGAGATTTAGGTTTTTCTGTGACTTGGGGGCGKWGCTTGATACTAATCAGCCAATGAYTGAACRAGTTTTCRAAAAGCTCCGCCCCTCAGATTGAAAGAAAKAACAAAATCCAGACAAACTTCAAAACAAAGAGGTCGCGATGCAACGTTTTCGGCTGTAATTGCTGTGCAAATTTTTGCTTTATAATAATTCATATGCATCATGTATTTTGTGCATGGTTTTCTTTTAGGATAATGTCACAACCATTCTTCTTCTTACTCCAGTCACAATTAGGTGAGTCCAGGAATAGATAATTTTATCATCATCAGTATCCKTACTGCAAATAGCTTCTATTTCATCCATTTCTATTTCCATTCAATTTCCACTTTGTCTTCTAGATTATGTCAAGTGTTGAATTTAGATCCAACAAACGTCCTTATTGCTGAAGTGATTTTCTCAAACATTGGAGGAACAGCTACAGGTAGGTCTGGATTGAGTGTCCTATGCAATGATTACTTTACTTCACTTTATAATGTGTGAGAAGGAATTAATTTATTTAGGGCACAAAAATTCAAACTCAAAATTTACATGGACTCAGGTGACATCTTTGTAATTAGGTACACATCCCTTTTCCAGTCCAAATGCTGAACATTTTCCCTTAAAATCCAAATATCTCAGCTGTTTCCACTTAAATATATTCTTTATTGTATTCATCGGCTAAGATCCCGAATTTCACTGAAGCAAATCCCATTTTCCAGTTCGAGAAACAGAGCTATCCCAATTCCCATATTAGAACGTTGCCCCCCACTAGGACTTTCCACTCTGTCTTTTCCTGTCTCTGGCTTCTTTCTCAATATTTCTCCTCCACGTTTCTTTTGGTCTCCCTTTTTTCTCTTTCTGTCATCATAGATGTTTAGTTGATCGATCTGTTCACATGGTAACTTGTCTCATTCTTTCAGGAGGGTTTGCAAGCTAATGTACGTGATAAAACTGCCACGGCATGCACTACACCAATAACAACAACAGCAGCAGCAGCAAATAGATTCACTTTGTTCTTCCAATATAGTTATCTTATTGATTTTACTGACTGAGTTTTCACATTCAGCCATAGGAGATCCACCAAACGTTCTTATTGCGGCACATAAAGACATAATTTCATTGGTGAGTCCTTTACTTTTTTATAGAAGCTTAGACAGATAGAAAGGAACCAAGCGGGCAGACCTGTAGACAGAAAGGCATAGGC